GAGAAGCCTGGTGGGGGCAGGACTCCGGTGAGGAGGGAGTGTGTGTGTGTGTGTGTGTGTGTGTGTGTGTGTGTGTGGACAGGCACGTGCGGATGGCACAGGGGCCCTGGCAGTCACCAGAGCTGCAGGGACCACTCGGGCGTGGAGGGCACAGCCCGTATTCCCTGATTCCCCTACACTGGGGCAAGGGCGGCTAGCAGAGTAGGCTCCTTGGACACAAGGCCCCAGGTCGGACATTGCCAGGAATGGGGAGAGAAGCCTACCGGTGGGGTTCTGGCCTTGAGCCCTCTATCTTCTGAGTTTAAAAGTGCAGCGCGGCTCAAGAGGGAGGACTGAAAGTTCAAATCCAGCCTGGCCACCTCAGTGACTTAGCAAGACCCTGTCTCAGGGTAAAACGAGAAAGGGCTGGGGATGTCGCTCAGTGCGAAGTCCCTGGGTCCAACCCCCAGTACTGAAAAAAAAAGTACAGCATCCTGGGAGCTCTGATTTGAGCCACCCATCGGCCACTGTCTAGGCCAGGGCTCCCCAGCTCCAGCTCTACCCGCACCCCACTTGCTCAGTAGCCAGTGTTAACCATGAAGTGCCCGCAAGCTCTTCCCTGTCTGCACTGGGCCCGCCTTCGGCAAATCTATTCTCGTCAGTCGGGGGGCTCGGGGGAATTCACGTGAATTAACACCGCGACCGGGGAGATGAGGCACAGTTGCTGCTAACCTCATTAAGCCAGAAGGAACCGCTGCTCCTCCCAGCCTCACTTCCAACTGGAATTTCTGAGCCGGGGTCTGTTTACCGACAGCCACTTCAGCACAACAGGGGAGACTGAGACAGACAGACAGCGACGTCTGTCTAGAAATCAGACAGCGGCCCGGGCGCTCCCAAGTGGAAACGGAGGGGAGCAGGTTGCATTTGGGGCACAGCTACCCAGCGCACGCACAGCTTCCCCCGGTGCGGAAGGAAAGTGATCAGCAAGGCGAGGCGCAGACAAGCTGCCCGCGCACCCCAGGCTGCCTGGACGGACCCTACAGATGGCACCCAACTCCCCCCGGCCAGGTGCGGAAATGCTGATCTGATCTCAGGGTGCGCCCAGCGAGGCACAAGCTACACGGGGGTCTCTGCAGACAGGAAGGGGCGGCAGCAAGCAGGCGCAAGCGTGGGAACCCCAGGGTGGCAGGTGCTGCCAGGCGCAAGCCCGACCACCCCCCACCATCCGGGTCTACCCTGGGCCAGCTGGCTCTCTGACATCATCTGCTATGAAAAACGCCTCATTTCAGATCAGCCCGAAGAGACCCAAAATAGCACCATCCCAGGTGTTATCTGAGTTCCAGGGGAGGCCAGCCCGGGAGCAGCAGCTCCTCCTAAGAAGGTGGCCGCCAAGTCCAGTCCAGGGGCTGCAGGGACGACTCACCTGCCTCCGAGGGTGGCTGCTCGTTAAAAAGGCCACAGGCTGGTTATTAGGGATCTAAAGCTCTGGCGCGGCGGCTGTGTCGTTAGGGAGTGTCGCTGCGGAACGTCAGCAGCAATTGGTGAATGAGATGAGTCCCACAAGGGTCGACTTTGGAGGCAGCGAGTCCATTAGCTCTATTAGGGCGTTTTCATCTCAGTGAGAGGTTGAATTATTCACAAGCTCCACTTCCCCTAAAAGCTTGGGCAGTGAGTTCCATGGTGCAGCCTGGCACTGCCAGCTCCTGGCAGGCCCGGTTGGGGTGCAGCCTGAGGGTGTGGGGGTGCTGTTCCTCCGGCGGCGCCCCTCAGCCACAGGTAGAAAGAGGTCAGCCGTGCTATTTGTTATCTGCACGTGGGACAGAGCTCAGCCTCTTCCAGTCTGTGCCTGAGGGTTCCCGAAGCATGTGACCGCCACCCACCGCACAGGAGCAGGGTCTGGTGAGGGCTCCCCAAGCACGTGACAGTGCTGTGCCCCTCGCTGGCATGTCCTGTGCTGCCAGGAAGTTTCCATGGCTGGAAGATTCCGGAAATCGCTGTTTGGACGCCACACGGCCACTGTCTCGGGCAGGGCCACAGCATCCCTTCCCCTCACACGGGTGCTGAGCTGGGATTTGGGGGAAGCTTCGAGATGGCTCCAGTGAGGCTGAGCTCAGTCCTGGCCTCGAGGTGGTGACCCTGGGGGTGCTGTGTGCCAGGGAGGTCTCAGCTTGACATCTCCCAGCTAAGGAGGCCACACCAATCCCTGGCGGAGTCTGGATGGAGGCTGACCTGTCTCTGCCACCGTAGGGGTGAAGGGACAGGAAATTGGGGCCCCAGATGGAGAGGAGAAGGTGAACGGAGTGGAGAGAACCTGGAATCTGAGGCGCCCGGAGGTGGGTGGTATTGGGAGCGGCTCAGTGAGTGCACTGGCCGGCTTTTCCCCAAAGGCCGAGTCCGCTGCTACGCCTAGACTGGGTTTGCGTGCATCCCCAGGGCTGCGTGTGGAAGGCTTGGTCCCAGGGGTAATGCTGGGAGTGTGAACCTCTAAGGGGCCACGAGAGGCGGCCAGAGGACATGGGGGCCACGCTCCTGGGAGCCAGGTCCCTGCACCAGTGAGTTGTAAGAATGAGCCTGACCGTGTGTTGCTCTCTGGCTTCCTGTTTGCCTGCCATCTGCCACGAGGACCCCATCCACCTCTGCGTCTGGCTCTCACTGTCCTCTGTATGTCCCCAGTGGTCCAGTCTGCAAGGACACTGAATCCTGCTCTCTGTGCACCCCCCTGCGTGGTGGCTGTGGCTTCTGCAGTCCTGCCCAGCCTCGGAGGGCAGCTCCCAGCCCCCACGCTGGCCTCCCCGCAAGGCCTCCTCTGACTCTGAACTTCAGTGACTATGCCCGCTGTGCTGGGGGCTTCCTCCATGACCCGCTCTGCCTTCCCGACACGCCTGGAGTTGGTACAGTTCTGGGGTGGATGCACTACTGTCCTTAAGCCTTCACCTGCTGTGTGGGTGAGCTCTGCCTGGTGACTCCACTTCCTCCCACCGGTGGAGGGATTTATCCTCCCGCCCTCTGGCTCTGAGTATGGTCATGATTCTTGCTTTGGCTAAAAGAACACGAGCAGAGATGACAGTGTTCATTTCATAGGCCCTAACAGACAGGGCACATTTCTGCTTTTCCTCTGGTCAAGAACGATAGCAAAACAGAGACCACCTTGGCTTCCCTACAGTTTGGAGACAGACCTGTTCCAGCCCATCTCAGAAGAGCTGATTCTAGCAGAATTCAGACACACGTGCAAGAAAGGAATGTTAATGGTCACCTTGTGCTGAGTCTTGGGGCTGCCTGTTCTGTGGCACACTGTGCAGAGCTGACTGCTACAGGGTCTTACTGCCTTCCTAGTCTGGGAGCTGCTCGAGGGCAGGATGCTCACCTGGATACCTCTGCCCATCAGAGGACCACCTCACATAACCTAAGCAGCTCCCTGATGCCATGTTTAGTGCCGTGTGATGGAGGTGCCCCCTGGGAGCGGCACCCAGTTTGTGAAACAGAGGTCTCAGCCCTGAAAATCGTCACTGTCAGAGGCCCCACCCAAGGGTCCACGTGAAGAAGCCATAAAGGCGGCCAGAGGAGAGGATGGCCAGAACCTGTGGACATGGGATCGTGGAGCTGAGAGGCCAAGAGGGAGGCCTTTGGAGTTGGCTCTCAGGTAGGAAGGTCGGGCGGATACAGGTGCTCCGCAGGGGTGGGCAACAGGACAAACCGAGAGCCCCAGGCTTCTGAGGGCAGTGAGTGGTGTGGGAGACCACTACAATGCTGTCGCACCCCACAGTACTGGGCCCCGGCCAGGGGCCCCTCTGAGCACCTGGGCTTTTTCTGCCTGACGCTCCGACCTCCCTCCTCTTTCAGACAGAGGCGGCCCAGGCCCTCGGAGGATGCAATTCAGGGGCAAGCTCGGCATCACCGGTTGCATCCTCTGGCCACACACCCATCACGATAGATTTGTGCACCATTTGCAAGCCCAGCGCCGCAGCTAACCACTTTGGTGAAAATCTTATAGAGCCAAAACGTCAGCAGAACCAGGGTCAGCCATCTCTGGAGGCACGCTGGAGGTACCACAGCAGGCAGACGAATTAGCCTGCACTCCTTACACTCGGGTGCAAGGCCGAGGGGAGGAACAGGTCACACGGATATGCAGCACCGGCCAGCGCCCTGACAGAGGCCCCGCCTCTGGACATACGGATGCCAGCCACAAATGCTCCCAGAGCTGTTTCTGGCAGGGGTGCACATGTTCTATTCCCAGGCCCAGTGCCTGGACGTGGCAACTCGCACGGGGACCTGCCAAGAGCTGCTGCTAGCTCATGCAGTCCTAGGGCAGACCCTGACATTATACTTCCTGGACCTGGAGGCTGTCCAGGCAGGATGCATCTGCTTGGTGCATTCCCAGCTTCACGGGAGGAGAGGTGGGCCAGAGGGAGAGATGGACAGGCGTGAGAGGACTTGCTGGGCCTGTGCCCAGGGCTCTGATACCATGTCCCATTGGGCACGGTCTCCTGCCAGGCAGGCAAACAGCTGTCTCCAACACGCCAGGAGAGAAGTGCAGCAGAAAGATAACCTGCATCCACCCTGACCCTGACCCGGGTCCCATGGGTGCCACAAACCCCTATAATGAAGCTATTAGCTGCAAATGCTGCTTGTTACAGATTGGCCCAGATCCACAAAGGGGGAACAGACGGCCTGCCGGAGCCTTCACTGCGGTAATAAAGGAAGCACAAACCTGTGGCCACAGGAACACATCCCAACCACGGCTGGACACTCGAGGTTCTACTCCTACATGTGGCTGAGGGCTAACCAGCCATCAGCAGGGTGTGTGTCCTGGTCACAGCAGCGTTCGAGGTGGGCAGTGTGCGATCACCCCGACTGCACATTCCCACCAGGACAGGACATACGGATGCTCCGGGGGAGGCCCCAGGACAGACGGCAGGGCCCGGGGCAATCCCGGGTCACCAGCTCCCCGACCTGAGGGGCACGCTCCTCCCACCCACTCACGTTTGCTGGGGTGGAGGGAAAGCGAAGGACTTGTTTGTTACCTGTAAAACTGGAGCTGTCTTTTGGGACTCCCATACCGAGTACTTCGGACAGCAATGGAGGAGAGAAAAAAAGAGAGAGGAGAGAAGATAGTCCACAACTGGCGTCAGCCTCGGGCTAAGGCATCGTGGACCTCCTGCAGCCCCCGTGCCCCCACCCTCCACAGCTCGCATCACCAGGATGCGAGGGCTCGGCAGCAGCGCCACCCAGTGGCCATGGAGGCAGAGGTCTGGACACCGTGGTCTGGCCTTCTTTCCCACGGAAACTTCCGGGTGAGGCGGGTCTGGGTCTTGCCATGCCTGGGAACGAGCCTCATGGGGTCACATCTTAGCATGCTTTAGAACAAAGGCTGAACTCTCCAGCCCAGATGGGCCACCAGGCACACCGGTGTGACAGGAGTGGCTCCCGACCCCTTTTCAGGACACGCGTCCCTTTTCCAGGGTTCCCACAGACAAGGGCCCCAGAGATCTAGAAAGGACTGACAGATTGCTGGGTGAGCAGGAGGATCGCTCATTAGCGCCCTCTGCAGGCTAGGCCTGCTGCTAGGCTGCCGCCTGGACACAGATGCCCAGAGCTGGGCTTAGAGGTGGCCCCTGCGGGGAGGAGGTCAGGGGTGCACCATGAGTGGCCGGCTGTGCCTGCCTGTTGGGAAATGGGCAGATGCGGCTCCCCAGAGTGCTGAGAGGTCATGAGCCCTATTCAGGCCACTGGGGGGGCGGGGGGACCAAAAGCCGCGTGAGCGGAGCATGCAAAGTGCAAGAAACGGAAGCTGGAAGGGCGTTCGCGCATAGTCCTGCCCGGGTATCTGCCAATGAGGTGTGCTGGAAGAGTGCGGACCCAAAAAGAGCCCACCCTGGCCGAATTCCACCCAGAAAATCTTGCTTCTTTCCCTCCCACCTTGCCTTTCAAAAGCGCCTATTTCTCCCTTGGCGTGAATGCTCGTGGGTGTGCACTGCGCGGCCCCCCGGGGGTGGGGAACGGCCCTGGGGACCCGTCTCAGGCAGGCCTGGCCCTGCGAGGGGTCTGGGTGGGCGGGGTGGGTCACCTGTAGATCATCCCGGGGGAGCCTGTCTGCCGCAGGGAGAGCCGAGCTGGGGAGCCCGTGGTGGATTCTGGATACATGGAGCCGGCCTCACTTGTGCAGACCCGCTCGCTTCTTCACAGACGGAAAGTTCTGGAGGAAAAGCAAAGTGGTGGGGGAAGGGGTGGTTAGCGAAGGCCAGCCAGGCTTGACCAGAGGCTGTCTGAGCCTACGAGGCATCTGTCTGTCACTCATCAGGTGGACAGAGTGACCCAGGGGCTCTGACCAGCAAGGACCTCGCTCCTCCATTCTGCACCTCTTCGGGACTGGGCTTTTCTGGAGAGTAGGTCCTGCTCCTCACACGAGCAGAAGGCTCTGTGTACCTCTCAGCCTGTCTTCCCTGCCCAGGAAGTGGCATTCTCTCCCCGCATCACCTTACGCCTTCCTTGGCTCTGACTCAGTCCATGGAAGCTTTCTGAGATTGTCACATATCCCCAGTGATCCGGCTCCTGGGTGCCCCCCAACCCCGTCCAGTCCCCTCGCAGTGTGGCTGGCAGCTTCTGACCAGCACAATGTGGCAAAGCTGAGGAGCTGTCACTTCTGTGCCCGGGCAGCACGAACTGTAGCGGCTATTGTGTTACTGACTCTCACTGGCTCTGAAGAAGCAGGCTGCCATGTGGACATGGCCCAGGTGGCCGGAAATGAGTGACCTCTGCTCACAGCCAGCAAGGAGCTAAGGCCTCCGTCCAACACCCGTACAAAGCGACTCCTTCAGATGACCCTGGGAGCTGGGTAGCAGAGCCTTCCCCTGTCACACCTTCCCACGAGAGCCCAGCACAGTCCACAGCTGGGTGGCAGGTTGTGGGGCCTTAAGGCATCAGACTCGGCCACGCCCACTGAACACAGGACCACAGCGACACCGAGATCATAAACACCTGCTGTTGGAAGCCACCACGAAGCTTGAGGTTGCTTGTGACAGCAGCAGGAGATGACGCATACGACTGCCAGCATCCATCCACGGCCTCCTGCAGCCACCCTTGGGTGGAGCCGCCACTGTCTTCCACCTGAAGCCCGGCTCTCCCGGCTCTGCTCATTCCCCAGGGCATTGGTTTCAAAGGGACCTAGCCCTGCGGCCCAGGCTGGCTCCCTCCCCAGCCATGGCCTCTGAGGCCTGTGCCTGCTTCTGCTTCTCACCTGCACCCTACCTGGGCCTCCTCCACCGTGGCCTTTGCATGACAGTTCCTTCTGCCAGGCCAGAGGCTCCTCCTATCTCCCTACCCTCTGCATGGGGGCCTGGGGTGGAGCTCCGGGTGTCTCAATGACCCTGTACCCCTGATGCCCACTACAGGCACTTGCTACTGAGGGGAAAGGTCCTTGATGTACAGTCACGGGGTCCGGCTCCCCAGGGAAAGGGGAGCCTGGGGTTGAGCCACGGCCGTGCCCATCTGCAGCGAGCCCTGGGAACTGGTTCCTGACCAGGCACTTAGCCGAGCAGCCCACGTAGACGCTTTGCTCACTTGCTGCTTCCTCCTCCCAGACAGAACCCTCCCATGTGCAGGAAGCCGGCTCCTCCAGCCCATGGTCAGTACAGCGTGGACTCAAGTCCCACTGATAACAGGTCTCTGAGGGAGGGCACGGCTGCCTGTGCCTTTGCACTGAGCTACAACCCCAGCCCTTTTTTATATTGAGACAGCATCTCACTAAGTTGCCTGGGCTGGGCTCCTACTTGTGATTCTCCTGCCTCAGCCTCCCAGAGTGCTAGGATTACAGGTGTGCACCACCATGCCCGGGCCCAAGGTCATCTCCTTAAGGAACCTCATTTGGAATGCTAGGATAAAATGAAGTAAAAATGCACTTAAATCCTTAAGACCAGAGTAGCAGATGCTTGGCTGATATTAATCCACGGTTCTTCCTGAGCTGCAGGGAGGGGATCCCCGGGTCTCTCTAGGCATGCCCCACACAGCGGCCTGGCCTGCAGGGAGGCTCCTGGTGGATGCCAGAGGCTCCCGATCACCTTTCCCGTTTTCCCTGTGGTTCTGCTGGGCTCCTGGTGCGCAGAGTCACTGGCCAGATTCTCAGGTCTGTGCGAAGTCCGGGGTGCTGACAGACAGGGCCCTGCTGCCCAGGCTGTGGGCTGTCATCAGGCAGTGCCTCTCCCTGGTGAGTGGCTGCTGTCCCCGGCCTGGGGCCACTGAGTCCCCGCGGAGGGACCCTGTGCGGCCTGAGGGCAGCTCCCCTCTGAGGCCTTAGCTGTTCACGCGTTTTGCTCCCCGGTGACTCCGAAGCATGAGGTCCTGTTGTCTCACGGAAGCTATTACGAGGCTGTTGTCAAACTGCCAACCGCGCCGCACAGGAACCAGGGGACGGAGTGCTGCTGAGTGCACGGGACACCGGCCGAGCCCTTCTGTGCGCAGGTGCTGGGTGTGAGCACTGAGTCCCCTCCCCGGGCGCGGCCCCGGGGTTGAGCGGTGCAGACCGGAGCCCAGGCCAGGCAGTGCCAGGCACAGCCTGCTGGGAGCACAGCGGTCCCTAGGGCCTGTCCCTGGAGAGCCTCCAGGGTGGACACGAATGTAAATGTGCAGGTCAACCAGTGCAGTGGTGCACGCCTGCCACCCCAGCACTCTGGGAGGCTGAGGCAGGGGGATGGAGCCCAGCCTGGGGAACTTCATGAGGTAGCGAGACCCTGTCTCAAAATAAAAAAATTTAAAAAAGTATGGTGATGTAACTCAGTGCAAAGACCCTGGGTTCAATTCCCTGTTTATATAAAAAAAAAAAAGCCACGGGGGAGGACCACAGGCAGGGTGATGGTCCCACAAGGGTTAGCAGACACCTGTGCCTTTGACGGGGGTGCAGCCCACCCTTCCCCCTTGGCTCTGCCTGGGTCTAGCTGCACAGCGGTGGCATTCTGGGGCGGCTCACTTTCAGAATTCTCAAGTCACAAACTCAGCATGCACTTGAGCTGGGAGAGGACCAGGGGTCTCTGACCCCACGGATGTGGCAGGGCCCAGAGTGCACCTTTTCACTGAGCTCTCCCAGCCTGGTGCTGATGGCCCTGGCCCCACACTTGCAAAGCCACTGGCCTGGGGCCAGGCCCTTCAGCAGGAGTCCCCAGGCCCATGCCTGCCTGCCGTCCACTTTTGTAAATAAAGTTTTATTGGAACATCTCTGTGGTGGACTGACAACTGGTGGTCAGCTTGTTACACCCAGCTGAACTAAACCAGCATGGTGCTGGGTGTGGGAAGCCGGCCTGCGGATTGTTGCCAGCAGCATGAGAGGCAGAGCTGGAGAAGATGAGGCTGTTGGGAGGTGAGAGGAACTGTTGGGTGTGTTAGAAGCTGTATGGAGCTGTTGGTTCTCTTGGAGGAGCTTGTCATGCTGGCTTTCCTGATGAACTTGGTTGTTTTCATCCTCTGAGGAGCTCGGGACCTTGTTGTCAATGAGAATGACTTTGGTTCACTCTGGGGGAGCTCTGGTCCTCACTTTGACCATTGCTTCCTGGCTCCGGAGAGGAAGATGGTGCACTGCTGAGTCTCTTGGAGAACATTGTCATGTTGGCTTTCCTGATGGGAACTCAGCTTTCCTCATCATCGGAGGAGCTCAGGACCTCACTGTTGCTGAGGATGGCTGTGGTACCTTTCGGGGGAGCTGTGGTCTTTACTTTGAGTGTTGCTTCCTGGCTCCAGTGCAGACCCCTCAGCCTGCTAGCACAGATCCTTCATTCTGCTGGCACAGACTTTCTAGTTTCCACTACTGACCTTTGGGCCTGCCCAGCGCAGATCCATAAAACAGGCCTGCATGAGATATTGTCATGGGCTCTGGGCCTCCAGCTAGACTCGTGGGAGGCATTGTTAGGGGTCTAGGTCTTCAGCTGAACTCATGCAGGGCCTTACTGTGGGATCCAGGCCCTCAGCTGGATTCTTGCTCTATATTGTGTGGACAGATTTCCTGCACTCTCTTGTAGATGATTCTTTGGGTCACTATTATAAATAATCTTATAAAATATGTGTCCTGTATTATATTGTTCCTTTGCAAAACCCCAAAGCACGACAATCTCCCTGCCCATCTGTTGAGGAATCCTGCTGCTTTCCCACAGGGCTGAGTCATTGCAGCAGAGGCTGGGACCAGCACAGCCTAAGACATTTACTCTCCAGCTCTTTGTAGAACAGTGTGTGGACCCTCCCTGTGCCACTGACTCCCCAGCTCCCGGGCGACAACTTTCCAGCTCCTCTCCTTCAGTCTCCAGCACCTCCTCTCCTGGCCCACTGGCTTTGCTGCTTCCTGTTTCCCCCAAGGAAACAAGGCAACTTGAGCCAAGCCCCTGAGGCCCACCCACAGGGCAGCACCCAGAGCACCCAGCTCTGTGCCACAGCCCATCAAGGGCATCCTGCTGGCCCGTGCGTCCTTCTCACGAAGCTCAGAGGAGTTAGTGTCCCTCCCATCTCAGAAGGGCCCCCAACACACCATTCCTAGGCCTGCTTCCTTCATCATGGCAGAGAATCATCCGTTCCACAGGAGAATTCCTTGAAAATTGTCTACTTGTCTGCAGCTTCTTCTTTGCAGAGCCAGCAGGTTCTGGGCAACCCTCTGCCCTTGCCACAGTGAGAACGCTGCTCTTACCAAGGCCACTGGGGCCTCTCTGCTGCCATCTGATGGTGCCATGGCACTGGGCCACGGCGGGACCCCAAATCCTCTGGGTTCTCCCCACTCTCTGGCTGCTGCTTCTGTCTTTGGGCTGCTTCCTGCTCATCCCTCTGACCCCTGACTTTGGTAGCTGCTCAGGTTCTGGCCCGGAGCCTCTGCCTTTCCCTCTGAGCCAGTGGTCAGCTCCTAGCTCACAGCCACAGGTGGACACTGGACTCACTCTGAGGACCATGTCACAAGGAACTGCCCTATCTCAGCATCCCCAAGGGCTTGGCACCTTGGCTCACCACCTTGGCCACCTCCAGGGCAGGGGGCTAAGTTTCCTCACAGCCTCTGCTTTGCATTCAGGATGCAGGACCAGCGTAGGGCGACTTGCCCAGAGCCAACCTCCGGGCTCTGCAGTTGCCACTGTCCAATCAGGAGCGACTGCACCCACCAAGTGGCCAATCCTTGTGGAGCTGACCTCCTAGGCTGGTGCTGCGACTCTGCACTGTGCAAGCAGAGGCAGGCAG